ATGGAGATAATGCGATTTTCCATGAATAACTTGAGAAAAGGAGATATTTGCCCAGTAAACGGAATAATTACACATGAATATAAAGTATTTTGCATTGTTTCTTCCACATTTGAAGTAAATAATGAAGTCGATAACAAGTTGAATTTGATAATGAATCTTTAGAGGACATTTTAATTTGACATCTCCATTATTGTATATATTTTTTATTATTTGCAAATAAAGTGTTTTTTACTTCGTTTATCTTATTCCGTTATTTTTATTTTTTAATAATAGGTTAATAAATAAAATTTTCACAGATTTTACATTTTTGTTTATATACAATTATTATAATCTCTGAAATATGATAAATTAATCAAAAAAAAACAAACAGTTTATTAAATTATTTGGTATTTAGTCTTACAAAATGAGTTCTTTTAAGGTAAAAATACCAATAATTCACACAGAAATGTAAAAGGTTTATGTAAGCTACACTTTTCTTCTCATAAATATTGAGGATTTTAAAAACACTTCAGTTTATTTCCAATTTTGAGAGTTCATTTGTTTTGAAGATCTTGCTCATTATTAAGTCTCTTTGAATCAGATATTAAAGATGTTTCTTTCGATTCAAACAAAACTTCACTATCTTTAAAAGTTTCAGGAGATTTCGAGGCAGGTTCTTGCAGTAGGGGTTTTAGGATATACACCTTCGAACTTATAGTAGGCTCATTTTAAATTAACCGAAGGGGGCAATGTCAGAAATTGCTGCTGCATCTTGAAGATCCGGTGTATTTTTATTAAATAGAGATGAAAAATGCCTCTAGTAGAAGGTTATTTTCCAGTCAATATTTTTTTTGTTTTCTGTTTTAATTTTTTTGGTAGAATCAGTGTGGTGAATAACAAGAGCAGTGGAGACATTTGTGTGGTACTACCCACTTCTTATATGTAAAGGTTTATCCATCATTTAAAAAATCAACAGTTTTCAAAATCATCTGGTATCTAAAAAAAAAAAAAGAAAAAGAAAAAAACATCGTTACTACAATGGTAGATAATTGAATAATTAAATTACAATAAAACATGTTTATTTTAATAAAGAGAATAGATACAAACCTCAACAAAATAATTTAGCTGTTCCTTGAAGCCTTTCTGTGTAACGATAATAATTTTTGTGTTTTCATATTTCTAGCAACACTAATAAATATTTTTTTTTACCACTAACATGAGAAATCACCATTATTTACTCCATTCCTCTAATGAGAAGTAATATTTCTCACCCTAGGTAAATTATGATAATAAAAAACACCTAGATAAATAATGAAACTAAATTTCATTAGTTTCATTTGGTTAATTTGACTACTAAACTTCTAGACTACTTGATATTTTGAAATATTTGAAAAATAAGTAGGAAATAACTAAAGCTGGGTTTATTAAAATCTAGTCAAATCAAATATGATAATATATATCAGTGTTAATAGTAAAAATATTAACTAGGAAATTCAACACCAGTAATAGGCTTCAAAAATTATTAATTAATACCAATAAATCCATGTCACTAAAATATCAAAAATGCAATGAGATATTTTCTAGAATCATATCAAAATTTGACACATGCCAAATTTTTACATAAATAAAGCCAGTCTGATTAGAAACACGCTTCACTCTGCTTGATATTTCAAAATATTTAACAAATTGTTAGGAAATTACTTATGTCAAAATTAAAATTGCTAATATATTAATGTTAGTAGCAAAAAAAAATTCTATATATACCTCGGATGAGAAAGCTATTATTTACCTCGCACATTATATCCCTCAGCGCTACGCGCCTCAGGATATAAAAGTGCTCATTTAATAATAGTGTGATGTTTGTTTACTTTAAAACAACAGTTTATTTATTAATAATTTATTTAAACACTTATTTATTTTAAACAATACTATTTTAATTTATATATACTTCGAATGTCTTTAACCTGATCACTATTTATATTCACCACTGTCTATCTACTAACTACTATTTATCTTCACTGTCCATATATCAACTGATAACTGATGGCTCTCCTTCACCAATTTATATACAAATTGGTGGTCTAGAATGCTCCCCCACCAAAATTGCCAGTATGTACCAGAAACGTTATCACGTTCTAGAAATAGTATCTCGTTGACCCTGGAATGTTCGCGAAAGTGTCTCCACCATAGTCGTCCCATAGCTTTGGTCTTAAGGGGTTTAATTATGTATAATAATCGGACAAGTTGAGCCTCAAAGGCCAAATAAGACAGAGAGGGACTTGTAGGGTTAGAGCATGACTGAATAATGAAATGGCTCACATAACAATAGCTCACTTCTCACCCTAGGTATATAATGTACTATTAATAATGAATGTAAAATGTAAATCATTATCACATCTTGGAAGGAAACATTTTTTTCATACTCATCATAATATTTATAAAAACATCAAACTTGCATAATTATCGATTGACAACAAAATTTTCTGATTCACAGATGACAGACACATGCAGTGCTGCCGCATTTCCATTTTCTTTTTTATTAGTTGTCGTTTTTTAAAACAATGAAACTATAAATATGATGAAATATTAAACATAAATAATATTTTTAAAAACATTTGATATTTTATATTTAAAAGATATTTGTTTAACGATATTTTAGAAGTCTAAAAGTAAGACGGTGCACACAAACGAACATAATAATATATTACTTTTCGTATACCGTCTAACTGGCAACGTTGTGTGGCTAGTTCCTATTGATCTATTCCCGGTGACGTCATAAATTTTAAAAAATTAATGACTCGGGCAAATGAATAGATAAAAAAAAATTTAAATGTAGCTTTATTTTGAACTCTATTATTAATAAAAAGATATTTCAAAATTTTTGAACATGTCCCATTATGTAAAGTATTCATTTTAGCAAATGAAATTACAATTTCTATTTTTTCTAAAATGTCATATATTGTTTGATACAACATGGTGATTTGATTCATTACTATAAAAGATTGAAAATAATCTTAATAATAATTATCTAATAAAATTTGTTCTTTAATTTTATATTCAATGGTCTCTATTCTTGATTTCATATTCAATTGATTGTAAGAAATATTTGGGATTAGGTTGTTAAAGTTTTTAATCGAACTTTACAAAAGTGAAATTTGATTAATTTATCTAATTTTTAATTAATTTTAATTTTCCTGTAACTCTATGATTTGTCTTTGGTATCGCTCCGCATCTTCTTGGTCTAGATTATCAGTTATATATTTAATAAGAGAACCTACAGAATTGAGCAAACTTCGTTTAATCCTATTTTTCAAGTTTAAAAAAAGGATTAATTTGACTAATTTAGTTTAGTTAGAGTGATCTCTCTCCTGACGACGTTATCTAATTTCCCAAAAAAAAACCTAAATTAATTTCCGCGCCTCACTTCATGTAAATTTCTTTTCTTTTATTTTTTTTTATTCAGCTGTATTTAAATCATTCCATTCCCCGTCCACAATTAGTTATTGAATAAAGCCAGACGACTTCTGTAAAATTAAGTTCACACACGCTCTCGATCGACTCTGGGCCAATTTCAAAATATTATTTTCTACGATCTTCGCTTCCGCCGTCCAAAACACCGCATGAATACCCATGTTTCTCACTAGACGAAAATTTTCGCTTCCCATCGCTCGTGGTTAAAATACGAGGGGGTCCGACAACTTTGATTTCATTTATTTGCATTTGATTACCGTCATATTTAAATTGTTTTCAAGTGTATTAATTTATTTTTATTAAATGTTCCGTATACAGGGAGTTTCATAATTCCCAGACCACTTATCCTCCTGCGCTAATAAACCATAAACATTTCCCTACATTTAAATAATTTCCAATTGTAATAATTTATTTTTCATGAATTTTCCGGATATTGGGATCCGTCGATATTTAAATAGTTTTCAATTGCAATAACTAATTTTTCGTAAATTTTCCGGATATAGAGATCCGTCAATATTTAAATAGTTTTCAATTGCAATAAGTTATTTTTCATAAATTTTCCGGATATAGGGATCCGTCAATATTTAAATAGTTTTCAGTTCTAATAATTTATTTTTAGTAAATTTTCCGAATATGGGGAGCCGTTAATATTTAATTAGTTTTCAAGTGTAATAATTTATTTTTAATAAAATTTTCCGAATACAGGGAGCCGTTCATATTTAATTACCGTTGTATTATTTTTTTTGTAAATATATATTTATTACTTATTCCTGTGTTTCTCTTATTACTGGTTCTTAACCGTTCTCTTTCAGGGTACCGTAGGGTACGAGGTGTAAAGGAGGTAAGTGTTTTATTTTTATTTATTCTAGTATAGTGGCTACCTAGCAGTGACCGCCTGGAATTGTTTTTACCTTCACTGAGTTCACCTAGAGTACACTCTGGTGTACCACAGGGTCGCAGAGCAAACTGCGATAACAAAACTGGCGCCTGAGCAACCCCTATTCGGGAATCACCTTCATAGCGTCACACAGATTCGCTGATTCACTGTAGGTGAACCAGAAGCCTGTCACAACATAGCAGGTTTCATTTTGAAAACCCCTTAAATTATTATTCATTACTCTTTGAAAAGAAGCTGGGGAATTTTTTAAACCAAAAGGAAGTCGAAGAAATTCATAATGACCTGTTTCTGTCGAAAATGCAGTTTTTGAGACATCTTCATTTCAATGTGGTAAAATACTGAGCATTCCCTAACTTATCCTCAATATCTGTTAAATTTGAACGGTTTTTCTCTACAATATAAATAGGTAAATTAAATGGCGAATCCAAATGTCTTATTATACCATCTGACAACATTTTACTTATTTGTGTATCAACCTCTTTCCTATGTATTTCCGGATATTTATAATTTTTAGTATATACTAGACTATCAAAAGTAAGGTTAAGTTTATGCTTAATTTGATTTTAAAATGTAAGAGGTACACCTTCGACCTCTAAACTCAAAACAAAGGTTTTAAATAGCATTATATTCTTCATTATTACAATGGTCTAACCTAATTCTTTTCAAATTATCTCTCTGTAATTTATCAAGCTCGTCCTCATCAATATCCATGTTCTTTATACAATCTGAATCAATAATAAGGTATAATTCACCTTCATCAATCAATTCTGTTTCAAACGGTTCAATAAAAGTTATTCTAATAGGATTTTCGCAACTATTTGTAATTACACTTAAAGCAAATGAATCTACATTTTTTACCAGATACTGGGGCATTTCAGCTTTTCCAAAATCTACGTAATTTAATATACCTATACCTAAAGGTTTATTTACAGGGATTTTCACTTTTTGAGATACTCGCAGAGAAATAATGACGTGTAGCGGATTAAAAGATTTTTGTTGAAAATTATACAAAGAGCAAATTTTTAAAAATTTACTTTATTCCGAATGCTACAAAATTAGAACTAAATAGAAAATTACGGTTTTGCACTATTTATAAACTACGGTTAATCATATCGTATTTCTAAGCGTCTATTCTATTCTTCATTATTCTACATATTCCTGGAATATAACTTATTTCAATGAGATGAAAAATGAATAATCAGCTTACACATCTAGAAAACAGTATGTAAAAATAATTTAGTATTTTATTTTAAAATTATTAAAATGACAAAAAATTACTGTTTCCAGTCATCAAAATATTTCCTCGACTTAACATTTTTCTTGCCTCACTCGAGTGTTGTTTTTCAGGAAATATAAAATTAATATTTCAACAAATATTAACAGAAAAGGTTTATAAGTGCAAATGGAAAGTAGAACGATGGTGGAAATTTAATAGTTTCTTACATTAAATGCACCACGAAGAATCCTTGTTGAGGTTAAGTCATTATTGCCAAGCTGCTCTGCAAAAAAGAATTTGTATTTTCCTCGGTTACTTTTAATGCCTGGAAATTTTAAATTCCGGCCGGGATTTTTGTTGGGGTTTAAATTAAGAAAGTTGGATAAAACATTGTGGATGGCAAATTTAAACTGAACAACTTTTTGTCGTTAATTAATTCCGAGCTTTTAACGAGTACATTTTCAGGAATGTATCATTAATATGGAGATATCCTTTTGACAATGGTTGTAGGTAAGTCAATGTAGTTATTTAAAAATAGTCTACCAAGAATATTTAAATAATATAATAATAATAATAATAATAATAATAATAATAAATACGTTTATTACTCAATAGTATTTATTATGTAAACATAACCACTGATCTGTATTATTTTACTGGATAGGATATAGGCTATATTTAACATTCTAAAAATCCGTTACACCAAGGAGACCGGAAGTGCAACACTGCTGGCCGATTTGGGCAAATTATGGTGGGATCACAGAACTGAATTTTGGGATAATTTGACATACCTAACCTATAATTTTATTAGTTTTTCTTCTTATTCTTCTTCTATTCCTTCTGCGGGCAATGTCCTTCGGAACAATTCACCCATAATTTGATTTTTTTATGAAAGAAAATATAAAAATGGAAATGTGAAGCATATTGTGTCTTCACGAATGAACGTTTATTGTTTATATTATAATAATGCTATCCGATACTACCTAAATAAATAAAAAAAAAACATCTCATCGTAACTTGTTAACACAATTAAGTGACAAATGTGATGACAAATGGAAATAGAGGTTATGTTAAATAACATCCGGTCCGCCATTTATTTGCCCAAATCGGCCAATTTTTCGGAACGTTTTTTAGAGGGCTATATCCTATCCAGTAAAATAATACAGATCAGTGAACATAACAGATAAATTATACACGAAAAAATGAGTAAATGGCATTTAGCTCAGTGCATTTAAGTCTTTTGAACTAAAATGTCTGTTCTTCCGCCAAAGCCCGATTATTCATAACTAATAACAAACATTAAAATAACAATAAACGAAAAAAAAAATCTTTTCCTACGACCACTTAGGAAAGTGACACATATCACACTATATAGTCCTATGGAAAGTGCCCTATATCACACGCGTATGAATAAGAATTTACTTTCCATCCGAGTGAGAATATGTTACTTTCCGCAGTAGTTGCCACAAAATGTCAAACAGCTAATTTCTATTTTGATCTATGTAATATCCATATTAATACCTACTAAAATCGATATGATTGTTAAATTATTGAAATTGTTGTAAATTAGATCCTAGATATTTATATTTAACAATTATTATTAAAATAATTTTAAAATAATGTTTGCTCTTTATTCTGGTTAAATACATAACCGATTAGATCATTCAATTGACACAAGGGCTATTAGCTCAGTTGGTTAGGACATCGAACTTATCAACTTTGCCATTTTTCGACCGCGTTCAGTCTATGGTTCAAATCCTGGCGGAGCAGAATTTTTTGTTTGTTTTTTTTAATTTTTTTTTTAGTTTTTTTTTGTTTAGAAAATATGAAAATTAAATAAATACGATTATTGTTGATTATTTTTTTTAAATACATTTTACTTATAGTAATAATAACCTTGGTTTTACATTTTTTTTGATGACATTATTTTGTGGTCGTAGGAAAAATATTGTACATCACTTGTGTGAAAAGTGATTTTCCACACTCGTGTGATAGTCGCACTCGGCTTGCGCCTCGTGCGACAGTATTTCCCACTCGTGTGAAAAATGTCACTTTCCACACTCGTAATGTAATATACTATATTTAAGAGACATATAAAAAAAATATACTAATACTAATAAGCGCTAAAATTAAGGTAAAAACATAGATAATATAAGAACAAAATTATAATAAATGTAACTGTGGCAACCTAAATAATAAAAAAAAAGTTAATAGGGACAATACAACAATAAGAGTTAGCATCATAAAGTAAGTAGGTGACTTTTGTAGTTCATTTTGAAGCTATTTGGAGAAAGTGTGATATTAAAAAGATTATTTTCCATTAGATTATTTGCAGATTTTGCCACGTTGTATGAAAATGCTCGTTTATATATTTCTTTACGATTAGAAGATATGGTAAGCATTTGCTTTCGTCGTATGTTTACATTAAGGACATCAGTACGATATTTAATTTTTTTATGTAAATATGCTGGAATTTTGAACTTTTTAACTTTAAATATAAAAGAAGCAAAATGCTATTTTCGGCAATTATGCATATTAAGCCATTCCAAATTTTTAAGTTCATACGTTACTCTATGCCTACGTCTAATGCCGTAAATTATTCTGATGAAAGAATTTTGTATTTTTTTAATACAGGCTTTGTCATCAGCGTCTAGACATGAACCATACACTGTTTCACAATGTTCAAACAGCGATAGTATAAGTGAGTCGCATATTTTTTTTTATGTTAACATCCAAAAATAGTCTTTGGGGATAAATTGCTTTTAGTTCAAAATATGATAGTTTCAGCCCAGTATATATACCAATCAGTATTGGCACTCTGAGGCGGCACGTTTGATCTTTAAAAGTAGAAATTTTAGTTGACACTTGACGTTTTAGGGATATGAAAAGTTTTCTTTACACGGACTTGGTATACCTGGTTAGTTGAATTTTTGTTCTGCTGCTTTTCAAATTCATGTGTATGAGGGAGATGTGAGATACCTTTATAGACAACGGTTGAACAACTTAATTACTTTGAAGAAGAAGAAAATAGATTAGATATCAGGACAGTTTTAGCAAATGTAAGAAGGACAGAACCGTTTTAAATTTTTTTATATATGTGAAATATTACTTTTTGGTGAAAAGTTTAATTACTTTTAGTTCAAAATATAACGTTAGTTTGTCAAGGGAAATTATCACACAAGGTTAGAGTAACAAAATAGAGGTATTGCTTTATTTCTTAAGAATTACTCTAATCTAAAACTTTTCTAGTATATTGTAAAAATTTATTCTATACGTTATTTAGGTACTGCAAAATCTATAGAAAAGTATGTAGTTTTAAATTTAAAAATTTGTAACGGATACATATTTAGTGTAGTTTTTTTACAAATACCTTTATACTCAGTGACTTGTTTTTGTGAATGAGTTCAAGTATGGCAGACTAAAATCGTTATTTTTTATTATGAATTAATTTGAATTTATTTTAAAATGGGAACTGTATGTATATAGTTTACGTAGTTTTTACACTTGCGATAAAAATATCAAAGTTATGTATATTGGCCATTTACTACACACAGCAAATTCATAGACACAATACATATTACTATTTGACATTCTTGTAAAACCACTAATTTAAAATTGACTTTAAACTAAGTGACTACACACAGAATTGTTTGAAAGCGGCCATATGGTATAATTTATTTATTGGATACTTTAAAAAAATTAATAGTAGTTACATGTAGAGTTAAGTAACAAGAAATTTAAGACCAAAAACAAAACAAACCTTTATCTAGTGAACCTAATTTAGTACAGTCCTCAACTTTCTCAGGCTAACAATAAAGATATCTATTTGGATCTCGCTAAGAAACTCATTGGTAACAGCCATCATTTTGTTAAAAGGAGATATACCACTTGGATCAAAATCAAATAATTTTTTGTTACTTGGGTTTCCTAGATTAATCTTTGCCGCATTAACATTTATATAGTCAATCAATTCACAATCTTTGTACTTAAAATAGAGTACAAAATATATCACAGCCTGTTGCTTTCTTCTTATAAATAAAGAGATTTATTCTTAAAACTATTGAGCATAGTTTTAAACGAGATATTAGGTATAAGGGTACAAGTATTTTTTATGACATAAAGGTACCGTAAAAATATTTTTTGTACTTTTTCAATATAATCAATTTGTGTGGCTTCCAAGGACATCCATATTTGTGAAACATATTCAAGATGGAGTCTTACTAAGGCATTATATAATCTGATTTTGGTGGTAATCCTAATTTTTTTTTGTATTTCTGATTTAAAAACCTAATGCTTTTATTGCTTTTTTAGTTATGTGTAAAAAATGGTTATTGAACTTCAAATTAGACTGAAAGACAACTCCCAAATCCTTTACCTCATATTCACGATTTGATGTGACATCACAGGTCTTATTTCTAATGTAAAACATTAAGAGGCTATGGATCCTTACAATTTAAAATATGCATACGTTTGTAACTGTTAAATAGACGGATAAAAAGTGTTGATTTTTATTTACAACTATAATAAGAACCCATTAAAAAGATTGAGAGCAATGGAACATTTTAACAAATTTCTATAGGTACACATGTTTTTGATACCTGATAATCAATAAATAATATATTTTTTGGAGTAGCAACAGGTTTATTAATACACAACT